CTGGGGATAGGATTTCTGTCGTGGGGGCTTGCCCAATGTGAAGATCCACTGCCTAGCGTCGCGGGGCACATAGACGGCAGGCGTCACTGAGGACACTGAGGGAAGGTGGGGTTGTTCGGCGGAACATCGGTCAGTAGACTGGTGCCTGCCCTCTGTGTGTGTCCTTCTCCCTCTCTCTCTCTCTCTCTCTCTCAGGGGCAGGCGACATCTATGCTGACTCATCCATCGGTGCCTGGCCTTCTCTCTCTCTTTCTCTCCAAGGCAGGCAATCCGCCCCCCCACCACCAAAATACGAAGACTCAGCCTCTGCCCATCGCCACGCCAGAGCCAAAAATACTTCTCCCCACGCGCATGGATACTCGGCACCGCTACGAATCGTCGGAAACACCATCGACACGCCATCATCTACTAACCTGCCCGCTCACGCTCACCTGAGGTTCTCATACCACTGCAAACCGTTTTCTGCTGCGCCTCTCCTCTCGTGTCATTTCCGCTGCCGCGTGCTGACGCGGGCTGACGGCACCGCATCGTCTTTGATGATACTAAGACCAGGGGCCCCCATCCCCCCGGCGGTACCTCCCCGACCGGGACTGTTTCCAGCCCACCCCTGGCTGCGCCGCTCGTCCTTTTGCCATGGGTTCTTTTGTCAAGGATCAATCGAGTCGAAGCACTCGGACCAGTGTCGGAGGCGGATCATCGGATCGACAAGTGGCCCGCATGGCGTCCGCTGCCACAGTTCATCAATCCATCCATCGCCAAGACAATGACTAGTGTGGGAGGAAGGAAGAAAAATACGATCTTCTCTAGTACATGGTAGATTCTTTCATGGCCATGACGAAAGAAACAAGAAGCACCCCAAGCTTAACACTACACTCTGCGCTCGCACTCGGTCTCGCGCTCTGGTCGCCAAGCAACCGTCACTGCAGAGAATGGGCATGAGGAATCTCGGCCGTCACACGTAGGATGCAAGAAAATGTCTGACCCGACCAACCTATTGGACGAATCGACCAACCAGCGCCGTCAATGCCATCCAAGGTGGTACCCCGAGGGATCGCGCCGCCAGGGGACGCCAGGGCAGCAGGCTACTTCGGGACTCGGCCAAGCGCTCGATCTTGTTGGTCGCCACCTCAGACACTCGTGTCAAGCGGCGGGGTGTATGCGCGTCCCAAGGGGGGGCGTTTGCTGGTTTCTGGTTTGGGGTGTCCGACGCAGAGCTGCGCCGCTGGTCAACAGTTGGTTTCCCCTGTGGGAACGTCTGGACACCCTAAACAGCGAACGCCGTGCGTGCGAAGGCACAGTTCCCGTGTTTATCATGAGACTTCCCCCCCGGTCCTCCCTGCCCACCCCCTCCCTCCCTCTGTCACTTCAATCATTCCTCCTCCTTGAGCACGGCGACGAATACGACGATAGTGACGGCGCTCCGATCGCTGCTGCGTACTCCCTTCTTCTCCATTTAGTCCCTCACTCGCTTGGGGCCTACCATTTACCTATCGACCCTCGCTTTCCTGGTTTCCATTCTGCATACGGTTCCGCGTCCTGAATTAAGAGCAACAGCCTGGGCCTCCCACTTGATACCTACATTTCGTGACCACCCATTCTATTCAGCAGCATATTTTTTTTTTCGACAAAGAAAAAGCAGTACGAATCATCATGAAGACTACGGCTGTCGCATGCGCCCTGGCGGGTCTCGCCATTGGCTCTGCTTCTGCTGAGGGCCCGACCCTGACCGAGCGTCAGGCTCCTCACCGCGCCCGCGCCGTCCCCGTTGTCACGGCTTCCGGTAACGGTATGCTTGACGTTCTTCCTTGCTCTGTCGCATGACTTCAGACTCGTCTAGCGACATGGCAGTGCGCTCCGGCAACACAGGCTAACCTGCGCCAGCTTTTCTGGGCCAACGGCGAGCGCTTCATCATTCGCGGAATTGACTACCAGCCCGGTAGCTCCGGCAAGAACGATGATCCCATCGCCAACGTTGACACGTGCAAGCGCGACATCACCGAGTTCAAGCGCCTCGGCGTCAACGCTGTCCGCATCTACAGTCTGGACAACTCGGCGAACCACGATGAGTGCATGGGCCTGCTCGCCGATGCCGGCATCTACCTGATGGCCGATCTCAACAGCCCCAAGTACTCCATCAACCGTGACGACCCCGAGCCCAGCTACAACGCCGCGTACCTGCAGTCCGTCTTTGCTACCGTCGAGGAGTTCGCCAAGTACGACAACACGCTTCTCTTCTTCTCTGGCAACGAGGTCATTTATACGCTCAACACGACCACCTCGGCTGAGTACGTCAAGGCGACCACGAGGGATGTTAAGAACTACATGCGGGCCCGTGGTCTGCGCCAGATCCCCGTCGGCTACTCGGCCGCCGACATCTCAGCCAACATCTGGCAGGCCGCCGACTACTTCAACTGCGGCAGCGATGACGCCCGTAGCGATTTCTGGGCTTTCAACGACTACTCTTGGTGCAACACGGACTTTGTGACTTCGGGCTGGAACCAGAAGGTCCAGAACTTCACCGATTACGGCATCCCCGTCTTGTAAGTGATCTCGCTTGACCTCTGCGAGGGTTGTCGGTGGCATCAGTGCTAACCTTGCGTGGCCTGTCCGAGTACGGCTGCAACACCAACGGGGAGCGCAAGTTCAACGAGATCGAGTCCCTGATGCACTCCAACATGACGGGCGTCTACTCCGGCGGCCTCATGTTTGAGTACACCATGGAGGAGAACAACTTCGGCATCATCGAGGTCAAGGACGGCAAGGTCGAGGAGCTTCCCGAATTCGCCAACTTTGCATCAGCCCTCAGCAAGTGGCCCATGCCCACGGCGGCCACGGCTCTGCACTCGACGACCCACGGCGTCGCCTGCCCGACATCCGCCTCCCTGTGGGAGGTCAACGAGAGCTTGCTGCCCAAGATGCCCCAAGCGGCGGAAAAGGTACGTCCAGAGCATTCATTCATGACGCATTCGCTGACTCGTTTTTCCACAGTACATGGATGACGGTGCCGGCACGGGTCCCGGCCTCGACGGCGATGGCTCTCAATGGAATGCCAACAGCGGCACCGCCACGACGTCGGTCGCCAGCGGTGCCCCCTCTCCCACCGGCCAGGGTTCCAGTAGCGGCGGCGGCAGCGGCAACAACGGCGGCAGCGGCAACGGCGACAGCGCAGCCGCCGGCCTCGCTTCCCACGGCATGCTGTATGTCAGCTTTGCCGCCGCCGTGGCCACTGTCATGGGCACCATGTTCCTCTGAGATGGATGGGCGTTGTGTCGTTTGAGTGTAAGAGGAGCGCGGTGCGACGGGAGGCTTCATTTCGGGATTGTTTTCGCAGACGGCGGCCCCATTGTGTTTAGCTGGGGATGCAGCATTGTTAATAGGGATGCTTTGGGAAAGGGTTCACTTCTGGCGTCATAAAGTATACTGCCTGTCTACGTTCATAGGTTCAATACTTATCGTCTCGCTCGTACCAGAGGTCAAGTGTGCACTCTGCATTTGAAGAGGAGAATCGATGCGCGTGGGCACCCCGACATCGCAGACTGAGTCACCGTGAAAGGCGCTCAACCCCGGAAATAGCCCTGACTCGTGCAGCCGACGACAACCGGCGCTCAATTCCGCACTCGACCTTGGCCTCCGCTATGCGCCCTTCCGGGCTCGGCATGTGTGTGTGCACATGGCCGCCCTCATCGCCGTCCGACTATATAACGGACGCCATGTTCGGAACAGCATTGCAGCAGCATCGCTGGAAAGAAAAGCATGTACCGCCTCACACCGCGACCACTCGCCCCCTGCTCCTCTCTCCGTCTCGCAACGAGAACCCACGCAACGCGACCCATCCACATCTCCGCCACCCGTCTCCGTTACCAGCACGTCCGCGCAAGCAGCACCAGCACCAGCACTCGCAGCAACAGCAACATGGCGACGGCAGCGGCCCCCTCCCCCTGCCCCACCGCCCCGAGCCTTCCCTACGACAACAAGATCTTCACGTCGGCATCCAACACGGCCAACGGCGAGGTCTCGTCGGCGACGCGGTTCCACTACCGCCAGGAGGGCAAGATCGTGTGGGCCGAGTACGGCGGCGGGTCCATCGTCAAGGGGTTCCTCATCGCGACGGTGGCGGACGACGAGAGCCTCGACATGCGGTACGAGCACGTCAATGACAGCGGGGCGCTCATGACGGGGCGGTGCCGCAGCGTGCCGGAGCGGTTGGCGGATGGAAGGCTGCGGATGCACGAGACATGGAGGTGGACGTCGGGGGATGGGACGGCGGGGGAGAGCGTTGTGGAGGAGGTGAGGGAGTGATCCGTGATGCAGAGGGCTCAACTGTTGTGGGCACCGGGAAGGCCTTATTGCGAAGTCGACTTTTCTTTTTTTTTTCCAAGGGGAAGAGGCGAAAGGTTCGGAGGCTCTTGGAGACTACTTTTGCTTTGGATGGAGATGGAATGAATTGGCTCTGGATTCGTACTGCGGACCTCACACTCTTGCTCGGTGACTGATCCGAGGCCCCGGTCGAAGCTCCGCTCCGGCGTCGGCCCCACAACTATAGGAACTTCTGGCGCCATCAGGCCATCTGTGCACTCTGACTACCACCACATTGACAGCCGCCCACAAGGCACTGGCATAAAGCCGTACGCTGAGCCCGAGGACGAGCGCGCTCCATCATGTCGTCGGCCCAATCAGCTCTGCGCTACGTGGCTGCCGCCAAGACGTCGTCCCTCGGCACCCTCTACCTCCACTGCTACGTCAAGCCCGGCGCAGCAAAGGCCCGCGAGGGCGTCACAGGGCTTACGGAGGACGCCATCGAGATATGCGTTGCAGCCCAGCCGCGAGAGGGGCAGGCCAACAAGGCTGTGCTGCGGCTGCTCAGCGAGGCAAGTCCATCTGAAGTCGCTCAGTCGAGAGCTGCCAGGCACTTGACGCAACGTCTGACACGAGATAGATACTCGAGTTTCCAAGGTCAGACTTTCAGATTATCCAGGGTTCGAACAGCCGACACAAGACGGTTGCTCTGAGAGGCATGGCGAGTGGTGAGGACGGGGTCTGCAGAGTACTGGACATCCTGCGCCAAGAGGCTGCCAGCTGATGCATGCTGCCGAGACTTGCTGTGGGAGCACTCATTCACTGGTCAGCTTCAACATTTGGGGGTGCCTGTGGCGCGCGGGGGGGCTCTAGGTGACTGAAGCCAGGTGAGAAGGCGCAGGCGCCGCACGAAAGCTGGCCGCTGAAGAATCGCCTACGTATATGAAGAAAACACTTGCTGCCCTGACCCATGCTCCTCTGGCCGCAACCGCATTGTACATAACGTGTTGCTCATCGGCACGATGCTTCATTGCGATATGCATCTTTTCGACATGACGATCTTGGAGCTGAAGACGTTTGTTGGCGACATTCCTCCCAGCGCCATACTGTCCCACACCTGAGGCGATGATGAGTTTCTTGTTGAGCACCTCCGGGCAGGCACACTTCATGCCCAGTCGTTGCACCATGCATGAGGACTTCGGAAGATACTCACCACCGGCAAGCTCGCGCGCGGACAATCTTCGAGGTACGTATGGGTAGACACATGCTGCATCGACAAATCCAGCAGTGCTGAGCTCGCCGAAGCGATCGATGCCATGTTCACCTGGTACCGTGGTCAGCAGTTTGCCACGCCGGGGACACTCCGTCCCAGCATTCGTCGACTTCGGTGGCCCGACCGTGAAGCTTTTCTGACCCGTCTGCGGCGTGTCAGATGGTCCACTAGGTTATCAAAGACAAACCAGTCGCAGCTATCATGTACGAGGCATCCGGACGCACCACGACCCGGATTGAGGCCACAGCCTACTGTCCGTTGTGCCTCTTCCAGGTCAACATGCCTCTGCTCTACGGCGAAGGCAGAAACGCTTTCAGCAGGCTGCAGATGGGAGGTCCTCGATTCGGACCCCGACCAGTCCATACTGTGCCGGAGAGAGGAAAGTACCGACATGCATCGCCCATTTTACAGCTCGGTCTCCTTCTCGGCACCGGCTCCATCGTGCTTCGGGTTTCTACCGCCCACATACTTGCTGTCATTTTGCTACAGAGACGTGCGTAGGACGTCGGGCAGGGTCGTACTCGGCGCTTTGTTCGGGCCTTGCTCCTTGACCTTTGATGGGGGGGATGCTTGCGCCCGAGACTCACGTTGCCATTCGAACGTGCGCTGTCGAGGTGGATGCTCGTATAGGTCTCATTCTAAGAATCGACGGCCAATGCAGATTCCACCACACGAAAGACTCCTATCTCAATAAATGTGTGTTCGCTTTCTTGCTCGCGAGCAAATCTTCTCCCGGCATGGCTCGGAGCCGAAGGCCCTGTCGTCTTGGTCAACGGAAAATAGAAGCGCCTTTCGCAGCGCCTTGTCTCAAGATCAAGAACCTTGACCCTCCCTGCAAGTGTAGTGTTGCCCTCTTGGCCTGCGGGAATTCCCCTCTTGCTATGAACAGATGAGGAGTCTACAAAGCTGATCCCAAACGTAGTCAAGTGCGACGTGGCAGGCCTGGAACCCTATGATATACTCCTAGTAGAAACCCGGTCGAGGCTATATTCGGTATCAACAACAGGCAGATCCGACCCTAGAAGACCGCAAGTGAGGCTAGACATTCGCAATGTACGCGATTACACACTACGTGTAGCGTTCCCGCCGTCCGGCTTACGGCTCATCCTGAGCTTAGGACACGCGAGCCATCCGAGCCGTCCTTGCGTCAAACCGGACAGTACGCCTGGCGCGAAGACGCGTCTGAACTGGGCCAACGGACTGATCTACTTTCTCGGGCGCGACGTCCCTGGCTGCTTCTTCTTTTGGCAGCTATCCTCCTGTCCCGCACTGGGAAAACATCATCAACAGGTCCGCTGTTCGATGCGGGCCTGGGCGTCCGTCATGCCATTGCCTTCCTGCACGCCCGAAGACCTGGCCGGCTTCACAACGTAGCAAATGGGCTGTTGCACGTTCGACATGGACGGCTGAGTGAGGTGGCCAGTCGGATTTTCGTGCTATTTTGTCAAGAACTAGAAATCCAGTATTCGCGGATTGAATACCGCATATTGGAGCCGTGGAATATGAAAACAGGCAAAAACTTAGTAACATGATCTATTGCCGACAATGGCTATCTAAGATGTATTAACACGCCCCTATGCCAACCATCCAATGCAATGATTTCATGAGATCAAACAGTCTGCTTTCCAGCACAATCCTGCACGCCCTCCGCCTTTTCCCTTCTCACTTCTGCCCTTGCCTTGCGCCTCTCAAGTCGTTCCTGTTCCTCTCTCATTTGTCTGATCAACGGACTCTTCGCGCGAATCCTCTCGCCGTACCTCCAGAACGCCAGTGGTACCGGTATGAGCGCAACCTCGAGCAGCCCCAGCAGCGTCCCCGCCCACTGTGGTGACAACGTTGTGTACATGGCCGTGCCGGCGAGCGGCAGTACCCCGCCAGCGATACTGCGAATGACAGCATTGCCGGCGAGGGCCGAGGCGGCGTAGATGCCGTAGGCACCAGCGAGATAGTTAGATCCATAGATAAAGGAAAGAGTGTTTCCGGCGCCGAAGGGGATGCCAAAGGCGATGGGGATGGCCCAGTGTATCGTGACGGGCAGACACGTCCAGGAGAAGACGAGCTGACCGAGAGGCGTGAGTATGGCGCCGAGGACCATGATGCGGGCGGCAGACTCGGGCAGGGGACGGCCAGTCGCAGGGTCGTGTCGATGCGCGTTGACGATACGGCGGAGCAGGGGCTCGGCAAAGATGGCCATGAGCGTGCCTATGCCGATGCCGAGGAACGCGAGGCCCGACGTGCCAGGGCCCCAGCCTCGGTGCTCAGAAAAGACGATGGGATAGGCGATGAAGCAGAGGTAGAGAATGGCGTAGATGACAGAGATCCTGTGAGGGTGAGCAAGGGGATCGGCGAAGAATTGGTCGAACCCAATCTTACCAGATGTTGGCAGCCCACAGAATCGGCTCTGTCGCGGCTAGTATAAAAGGGCGGCTCATGTTCGTCTTGATGAGCTCGACCTTGGATACCTTGGCGTCATACCTGCACCACCACCGAGGGTCGTCTGTCTCCCTGCGTATCTTGGCCGCCTTCCGTTGGAGCAGGGTTGGAGCATACGTCTCCTTGACGGTAAACATCATGATGATGCTAACACCTGCGATGATGAGCACGAGCCAATTACACCACCTCCATCCAAGATACTGAAAGACAAAACCGCCAATAATGGGTCCAGTCACTGGTCCGTTCAGAGGCGCAATAGACCATAGCGACATGTACTTGGCGCGGCGATCCTCGGTGGAGATGTCGACAATAGTGCCCGGGCTATTGGAGATCAAAGCAGCACCAAACATGGCTCTAGCAGGAGGTCAGCTATGTTCTGGGACTGGATTGACTGGCCATAGATAGAGTGACTGACCCAACGAATCTGCAGGCAAACATTTGTTCCAGTGATGTCGCGAGGGCACAGGGAATGATCATAATTGTTGACAAAACCATGCACACAATATAGATCTTGCGACGACCATAGAGCTCGCTCAGCGGAGCAACAACAAGGCTTCCTGTCGCGAGACCAAGAAGGTACGTGGTGACTCCCAATGCCGTGTACGATTTGGAGGCGTTGTATTCCTCCATGAGACCCGGGATCGAGGCGGTGTAGCTGGTGCTGTACAGGACCACGATCCAACACGAGATGGAGACGACAAACATGACCCAGGCACGATACCACTTGGACCAATTCCTCGGGTTCTCGGGGTCGTCTGGGCTGAATTCGACCTCGAAATCGGGTGGCCGAGAGGCAGTGCTGGCTTCTGTTCGAACGGGTGACAGCGGCTCACCCGCGACAGACGCCTCCTCGATTTCGTAGTCGGTGTCGCGGCGCAGCGCCTTCTCCAAGACATCGTGTGACGAGTCGGACTCGTCGCATGGATGTCCAGATGCTGGTTTGGTGCCTGACCTGGTCTTGTCGTTGTTTCTGTGCAGGGATGGGGTTGGTGACCTCCAGTTGCCTCCGGCTCCGGCACCCTTTTCCGGGTCGGGCGAGGAAGGCATGCTGTCTGTCTCAAACCGCCGGACGAGCACACGGTCCGGCACGCGACAAAGTGGGCTCAGTCTCACAAAGCGGAGCGAAGCGAGCTGTGACACGAAGGGACCAATTTGACAGGCGACAAACAACAAGCGCCGAACATCGGGGCCGTGGAAGCGCAGAAGCTGAGAAGAACAGATGATGAGTGAACAAGGCGGCACTCGGGAGCGGCGAAGGAGAAGCAGAAGTCATATGTAATGGAGTCTATGGGCCCCACACCCCACAAAGGTGCAGCGGAGGCTTTGGGTTGGCGAAGATGCAAAAGAAGAAGCGGCGAACGTGGTTCCCATCCATCGGTCCATCTGCGCAAGGCGTACCAGGGTCTGAGGAGGGTGGGGGTCCGTTCGGGAATAGCGGCGGATGTTGAAGGCCTGAGGGCACGCTCACTACGTGCGGATAGAGGTCAAGGGGCGACTGCAGCTGCAATGTTAGCTCTGATGATCGATAGCGTGCTAGGCAAAGACGTGATTCTCTCTTGGCGTTGATCACCTAGGCCAACCGACGATATGCTTTTGCGGGGTCAGCCGAGGTCCTTGACATGGCAGACAACGGACACGACCAGCGAGAGAGGGGTTTCACGACTTGTCCCCATGCTCCTAGTGACAGGACTGCCGACCTAGAGAGCGTGCTAGCATCGGCAACAGTATGCGGCTGGCCAGCGAGAATGGGGTTAGCGGTGAAAGGATCCCCGCAGTGTGCTGTAGGCACTGTCGGATCCGATTTGCGGACGAGAACGGAGATGAACTGGAGTCTGTCATTGAACTGGGCTGGTTTTTCCAAAGACCAGGCCTTTGGTCAGGCTGGGCACACGCTAGACGTTGGCCGACAATGTATCTCGATGTCTTCCTTTGTACATTGATGATACTCTAGGGTAGTATTGGCCATGGCCGACAGGGAAGTTAAGGTTGACAGTCTGCACGAAGGCAGGAGCAGTAGTAGAGAAGCAAGACTGAGAAAATGAATTACCTAAGCAGGGTCATGAGCCCCACCTCGATAACCAGACTCCACCCAGATAGCTGAAAAATAGCAAGAGCAACGGAAAGCAGCAGCAACAGCGCCAGGAAGCAGCTCCAGCTCGAAACTCGATGCACTCCGATCGACGACGGCGATCCATGACCACGACCCGTGCCGAGCTCATCTCTCATTGACGCCTCAACTCGACGAAGCGCGACGACACCATCGGCGAATCATCCGAAAACGACACACAGGGACCTTGTTGCGACATCATTGATGTTCACTGTGCTCCGCAAACACTTGACTGCTCGCGCCCTCATCTCGTCAACCCTCCGCCCGCCTTGGGTCTTTCCCTCTCGGGTCTCTACCTTGACCATCCGCTCCTACGCCCACACCAACACATACACCCGTCGCAGCCAGCGTCGGCCGCCGCTCTCTCCGACCATGGCATCAGCATATGCCGCTTTCTCCAAAGGCGGCTACTCTCAGCAAACTGCTCCCCCAACATCCTCTCCCACCGTCACAGCTCTCAACAGATGGAGCATCTTGACCAATACACAACTCCCAGGTCCGCCACAGCCCTACCAAGCTCCCTGCTAAGCTCTCTGGGCCCCTGAATCTGACCAGCTTCTCAGCCGTCGACACAATCAAGGCGTTACACGTCTATGATTTTGACAACACCCGTAAGCAGTAGCCCCTTCTCCCCCACGAGTTAATGCCTTCTGCTACGTCATACTTAAACACGTTCGCCATAGTCTTTAAAACCCCCCTTCCGAACCCCGCCCTCTGGGTTGGCACCACAATCGGCACCCTCAGCAGCCAGGACACACTGATCAACGGCGGTTGGTGGCATGACTCCCGCATCCTCGCGGCACGGGCGAGGGCGCCGACGCCGAGGAGAAGCGCGCGTGGGACGGCTGGTGGAACGAGAAGATTGTCGAGCTCATCACCCTGAGCACCAAGCAAAAGGACGCATTGTGCGTCCTGCTCACCGGGCCGCTCCGAGCGCGGCTTCTCCGACCTCATCAAGCGCATGATCAAGAGCAAGGGCCTCGAGTTCGACATGATCGGCCTCAAGCCCGCCGTCAGCCCCCACGAAACCAGCACTTCAAGAGCACCATGCATTTCAAGCAGCTCTTCCTCGAGGCCATGATGGAGACGTACAAGAACGCTGAGGAGATTCGCATCTACGAGGATCGACCCAAGCACGTCAAGGGCTTCCGCGACTTCATGGCCGACTACAACCGCCGCCAGAATGGTCCCACGCCGCACCTGCGCACCCGCGGCCCCATCAACGCCGAGGTCGTCCAGGTCGCCGACATGACGACGACGCTTGACCCCGTCGCTGAGGTCGCTGAGGTTCAGCACATGATCAACCTGCACAACGAAGCCGTCTCCAAACCTCAGCAGCAAGCACAACCGCCGCACATGCGTCCCAAGCGCCTCGTCATCAAAAAGACCGTCTTCTTCACCGGCTACATGCTCGACAAGCAGGACACGACCGAGCTCATCAAGATAGCCAAGGCCCAGATCCCCGCCGGTATGCCTGACCACGAGCTCAAGTTCCACGCCAACAACATTCTCATCTGTCCCCGTCCCTGCCCGGCCTCCATCCTCGATAAGGTCGGCGGCATGGGCGCCAAGATGAAGTGGGAAGTCACCGGCACCGCCTGCTACGAGAACTCTATATGGGCCGCCTGCCTGCGCCCCCTGCCCCCCAACGCAAAGTTCCACACCGACAACCCATCGCCGTTGGTTGTGCTCGCTCTGCGCAAGGGCGCACGCCCTGTCGACGCCGGCAAGATCCAGAACTGGCAACCCGTCTCCGCCGACCGCGCTCTCAGCTTTGAGACGACGGTGGGCGAAAAGGTCATTCTGCGCATCGAGGCCGAGGACCCTCGCGAGGACGAGTACGAGTCGCTGTTCGCCAACAAGGGCGCCAAGAGGAAGCACGCCGGCGACGAGGTCGGCGCACAACACAACCACGGTGGACAGGGCGGACAGAACCACCGTGGCGGCCGCAACGAGCGGCGCGACTTTCACTCAGGCGGACGCGGCGGGCGAGGAGGCAACAACAACAATAACAATAACTTCCGCGGCGGCGGGCGCGGCGGACGTAACGGCGGCCAGCGAGGCAACGGCAAGGGCGGTCGTGGGGGACGCGGCGGCGGCGGCGGACACGGTTACCGTAGTTTGGATGACGTGGAGCCTCGCAATCAGCAGGGCGGGTATGGAACGACGGTGGAGTACGACGAGCCAACTACCAGTCCCGGCTTCCAGCAGGGTCGGGCGGGAGGCGCGGCCTACAATGGCGGCAACAATGCGGACTTGCAGAACTACTACTAGGCGCATCGTTTTGTGTAGTGTCGGGACCTCGAAGAGCCTGTAGGGCCTAAACGCCCGAGGGCAGCCGATGGGAGGGGTAATTCGGTGGTGAAAATAATCTGCAGACGGTCACTCTGCGCCAGAAAGGGGAGGGATTGGGGGCATGGTTTCGAGTGGACCAACTTCGCGGTCGCGAGGCTCACGTTTCAGTGCGCGGACACGGCGTTTTGTATCTCTTTGACTTTCTTCGAGCAGCAACGGCGTCAGGGGCAATGGAAAGGGGGAAAGGAGGGGGGAGCAGGAACAGACAGGCTTGTCTGTGAGATGTTCCTCCAAGGTCATACCCAAGATCACCATAGGCAGCCCGCAGCATGGGCCGTGTCAAATGAACCAATTTCGTCTTTTCAGTCGTCTGCATTCATGGAGCCCCGGTGCATCTATACATGCATGTGTATCTACCATCAAGTCATGCCATCGATCTGGAAGCACGTTCAGACGAGGCCCTCAAAATGCAGTTTCTTGGTCGTGAGGCCGTGACAGAGATCCTACTCGTCGTCACTGTCATCCTCGTCATCCTCCTCGTCGTCATCCTCCTCCTCGGCGTTCTCGAGCCACTCGACGAGAACCCTACACCTCTCTCGCACGGCGGCCATGCCCTCGCCGGCCGCGGCCCTCTCGTCGCCCCACCACGCGACAATGGCCTCCTCCTCGAGCACGTCGAGGCTGTAGAGCTGCTGCAGCAGCCCGGCGAGGACGGTGCCGGCGCGCGCGGCCTCGAGGGCGCGGACGTTGACGAGGGCCTTTTGCAGCGCGAGGACGAACTCGCGCTGCTCGGGCTCGCCGCCGCCGACGCCGACTCGCGGATGAAGGACGGGGCGCCGCTGCGGGCGGCGAGGGCGGCGTCGGCGGCCTTGGCGGGCTCGAGGGCGCCGTGGGCGGGCGTCAGGAGCTCGGCGGCGCGGCGGGCAAAGGCGACGGCGACGGCCTTGCGCATCTGCACGTCCGACGCGTCGTTGGCGAGGCGGAGACCCATGAACTCGAGCTTGGCCGAGTCAAAGTCGCCCGTGTCGTCGCGCAGCGCGTCGAGGAGGCCGTGCACGGCGTCCTGGTGGAACGAGGACGACGACGACGACGACTTGCCGCCGGCGCCCGAGTCGTCCGAGGCGAAGGACGAGAGGCGGTGGCGCGATTCGTCGGCTGACAGCGACGTGTTGTAGTCGTCGTCGCCAAAGGTCGAGTCGAGGTCGGACGAGAGCGTCGAGAGGGAGGACGCGCTGAGGGAGAGCGCGGAGAGGTTGTACAGGAGGGAGCGCTGGAGGATGGCCGGGTCTTCGTCGTCGAAGTCTTCGGCTTCGGGGTCGACATAGGCGGTGCCGCGGCCGCGCGGGCCCAGCAGCTTGGTGTCTGGGTCGACGGGCTTGCCGTCGTGGGCGAGCGAGGAGATGACTGTGCTTTCGGGCAGGTGAATGCCGTCGCTGACCGTCACCTCGGACGAGAGCACGGAACCTTCGCCGACCGACGCCTTCTTGCCCACGACGGTCGAGTGGCCGAGTATCGATCGCCTGACGACGGCGCCGTCGGCAATAATGACATCGTCCCAGATGAAGCTGTCCTCGATGGTCACGTTGACGCCAATGGTACACCGCCTGCCGATGATGCTGCCGCTGACTGTGCTGCCTGATCCGACAATCGTGTTCTTGCCAAAGATGGCGTTGGACACCCTGCTGCTCAGCGCAAACTCGACACCATCTTCCGCCGACACGCCGTGCTTGCGCATTTGGTAGCTCTGCCCGGGCAAGACGTTGCAGTCGGGGATGAATGGGAATGTCCAGCGGCCAATAACGTCTCTGCTGATGGCCTCGTACATTTGCAGGTTGTTGGCGCGCGCCGCGTAGCCGTCCTCCAGGATCTCGGCGTAGATGGCCTTTCCGTTCAGCTCCCAGTCCTTGAGCACACCGTGCAGGAAATTCCTCCTCGGCAGCTCATAGTCGAAACTCTCTGACCACAGCGCGAGCACCTCGGGGGTGCAAATGTCGATCTGGGCGTCGATAAAGTCGGAGCGGACCTCGAAATCGGCCGACAGCTCGTCGATGATGGTAGGATCGAGTGTCATATAGTGGTCGCTCTGGAGGGGGTGCGACTCGTCGTAGTGAAGACATCTCCTCGTCTTGGAGTCGATGACAAATGTTGGTGTGATGCCGTTGGCCTTTGTCCTGTGTTCGTCGTCACCGCCGGAGCGCAGCACAACGGTCATGATGTTGGTGGCCGAGGCCTCTTTCCGCGCCTTGTGCCCCGTCAGCGCCTTCTCGAGAGATATGTTGGACACGAGGTCGCCGTGACTAGCACAAAGTCGCCGTCAATATAGCCGCGGCCGTCGAGGTCACGGAGGAAGTCGCCGACGGAACGAGCATCGGACACGCGGATGAAGGAGAGGTTGGCAAAGGGGCTCTTGTTGGAGGAGGTGGACCAGCGCGAGCGGTTGATGTAGTCCTCGAGCTGCTCGCCGTGGCTCCAGGGTATATATGCACCTCCTGGACGCCATTCATGGCCAGGAACTCGAGGGTGTACTCGATGAGGGGCGTGTTGCGAGGGGTAGAGACACTGCGGCAGAGACCTGTCAGCGTCGCAGAGGGTGGGGATTCGGTGACGGCTTACTCTCGGCTGGTCGATGTGAGCGGGTGAAACCTGTCCTGGAAGGAGTCGGCGATGACCTGGAGATCGGGCGGGCGCATTAGCATCAGGATCTGGATTTCGACGTTGTTGCCCCACCATGGAGTGGTACTCACCACAGCCTGGAGCACATCCTCGCGCTTGCCCTCACCGGCCTTGGCGGGCTTCTTGCCCTGCTTGCCCTTTTGCTGCGACATGAGCGGTCTTCGGCGGTCGGTCGATCGGTCCAGAGGCGGTGCTGGCGATCGTAGGGTTGGGTGCTGGCGACGGGCCGGTAGTTGGGCGGCGGGTTGGTGGTTTGAAGATGCAAAAGTTGAGCTGTGAGTCAATGGAGCAATTGGCCGTAGGGGCCGTGCGTCAGAGGCTTCTCGGTGGGTTCGGTGTGTTGGTCGGTGTAGGCTGTCGTCGACGGGGCGGGCCCAATGCTGCACCTTGTGATAGCACGACTCATTGTTACATTCGCCTTTTCCATGCAGCAATACGGACATGATTTTAGGTTCGCTTGCTCATCAGTCATGATCTATTTTCCTTGCATCCCAGTGTACGATCACTGCAGGTAGCTAAAATCCTCGAGCTGCCTTCGCACGATGACCGTCAGCGAACCTGAGAACTTGTAATTGCAAGCATGAAGAACCAAGCACAATGGATTCCTCGCCCGATTTCTGTCTTGCACTGCTTTCCAATCTCGCTGTCAATCAACATGAATTCAGTACCTTCACGAGCGCTAGAATGAGCCACTGGTCATGCCCGTGGAGGATTAGGCTTTCGACAGCTCGCTTCAGGTCTAATATTCCAGAAAAGTGCACTCCGCAAGGGGATGATGTTGCGGCCAGGTCCGTCTACCTAGGCCACACGTGGGAACCTTGATTTGGTACAGGGGTTCCATCTGTAATTCGAGGTCACCTTTCCAGTTGGTCCAGATTGCCATCCGTCATCCAACGAGTCGTCGCCACAGAATTCGATGCGATTTTGCGATTGCCATCGCCTTTTGTATTAGGCAGGTCCTGATATGGGCGCTGTGCGCTTGGCGATTTTCGAATCAGGTATTGATTGCGCTCATATCGCCTGGGTGCAGTCGAGGATAAATGACACCGCCGGATCCTGCTTGGCACAGCTGCTCGCTAGCATGATCTATGAAGCTCCAGACGAGAGACTTTTAGTCTCTCTCTGTCTCTCAACGCACTTCAGTGCGCGACGTTCAGTTTCGTTTCGCGCCGAGCTCGAAATTATCCTGTCTACCCAAACTCTAGCACCATGAATGGCAAGCCTGAAGCCGCGCCTAACTTTCTCAACATCCCAAGAAGCTCAGCGTGGCTTGCCCTTCTCGGCGTCTACCCTTTTAGGCCCGTACAATACACACCAAAGCATGGCACTTGCCGAGGTTCTGTCCTGGGATTTTGTATGATGCAACCATGCATGAAAGCTTCAGAAAGGCCAGGCCTCGACCGCCCGACTGGGTTCTCACGATCGCGAGGAGGGCTAGACTGATGAACCGAAGGGAGGTTGGGTCAGCAGGTGTGTGCACGGGGGAACAAATGCGCAGCCCAGACTGCCGAAAGATACGCCGACATGGTACAGGATTGGGGTGACATCGTGATGCGAGGGCCTGGCTCCCCCATCTCGGCGTAACACCCCGTTTGCGCAGACTCAAAAGGGAACGTGGTCGTGCTGCGAATACCTCCGTGGGAGAAGACCGTACAGTCAGAACTGCCGTCCTGCTCCCTATAGAACATCGGTCAGGCAGGCGGCGAGCATGCCACGCGCACCAAAGCTTCCTCCCCTGGGTGAGAACTGCAACACGTCTTGGCACCCTTGCGAGGCCATCTGCAGGGCCGGGCGCGAGTCCAGCCCAAAACGCCAGCTCCATCACGATCGAAGTGCCTTCCGCATAGAGCGAAACTCTGAGTGAAATAGACCACTCCAGCCCTCGCGACTGTGGCCCCTCAGACGATGCACCTGCACCTCGTCCCGCCAAATTGCACGCAAACATGTGGCGGCGTTCTCGGCCGGGCTTTCGGACACAGGGCGACAAAGGGCTGCATGGGCCGGATCCTCCGGGTCTCGCGCGCTCGAAAGAGGCAGCATAATCCGAGAGTCGACCGCGAGCACAATAACACGCTGACGAGTTGTTACCCTGGGAAAGATTGCCTACTTTGCATTGTCTGGGTAGGCTAAGTACCTACGAGGGAAGGAGGAGGTAAAGAGCACACAGGGACCAGTCAGACGTGGCCGATCTGCCCTCCACTTCCGTACATATCGATATCTCCAAAAGACGTACAATTTTTGCCCATCTCGATCCTGCCACGTTCTCCCACACACATCTTTCCGGATCAGCCCTACCACATTGGTATTCAACGCCAACATGGACCGGGCTCCGCGTACTATGACGAGACCCCTTCCCCCCCCCTCCATCCCCCATCATCATCAAAGCTGTTGCAGAGACGTCATGGAAAAGAACCCCGAAAGGATCTCCCGCTGTCTCCGGCAGAAATGGGTGAGCCTCCCCTCTATTCGCTGGGAGGGGGGGGGGACATCTCAGAACTCCAGGGGTCTGGGCCCCGGCGACTCAAAATCAGCCCACCCGGCCGCACAGCCGGGTCCAGACCGGTCTCGAAGGCGGGACCCGTCGCACGCGCCCCTCCTCCTTGCTCCCTTTGCCCGTTCCTTCACTGGTTGCCGTCCATCAAATCGAGAGGCGGCCCCCCTTGTTGCTGTCATTGTCAATCGACACTGACAGGGCCCCAGACAGAAGTCCCTAGCCCGTCGCAACGGTGTCCCGGCCAGGGCTCCCTAAGGGGGTCCGTAGTGTCCGAGAGCACCTACAGCGCATTCGGTCTCGTCACCGTTGACATCAGGTTCAGCGAGCTTGAACGACAGGAACGGACTCCGTCAGGACGCCATCGGGATTATACTTTAGGAGGGGGCGGGCACGAGATCAGAGAAGAGGACGAGAAGAAAAGCAAAAGCAAAAACATAGTTGAAGCTCCCTTGGAGCCTGGCTATGCATGGCATGCGCACCGCCGGATGAATGAACAAGGTGCAGACTGGCTCCCCCCCTCGGGGCGATGGACCTGATGTCCGCTGCCACGGCGGCCGCCCGCGTTGATAGTACTATCTTGAACGGTGAACCAAAAACACACCCCGGCTCCCGCCTTCCGTTTCCCAGCATAGAGGTCCCGCTCCCCTGGGAACAACCGCTGCGGCGCTCAAGATAAAGGGCGACAGGCCTTTTGTCTTGCTTCTCTTCTCTCTCCCTCTCGCACTCTGACCTTCCCAGTCCAGCCTATCCATACCAAGCCGCCCCCGCTCCCCTCCCCGAGAAACAAGGTTGGTAGTACAGACCAGGGCGCGCATGGACGAGCGTCACGTCCCGAGAGACAGGGCAAGGCAGGGACGGGTCCAGGCAAGGTAAGGTGACACGCGGTATGTACCGGCCGTACGAAGGCCCATGGCTTGGCTGGGCCCTTTGTTTTCTCGAAATCCGATCACACACAAACACACATGCACGCCTCTCCCTCTCCTTCTCCGTCTCCGTCGCTCCGTACCCCCCCCGCCCCCTCCCAGCTATATCCCCTTGTCGACGAAGACCCAGGCCCATCCCCCAGGCGCTCGGGGCCTGGATCGTCCCGTCTGGGGTACTTTAACCTCGCAGTCCTCCTCTTTGTCCCCCACACCCACTCTCCCTTTGCTCTGTTTCTCAGACATGCCATCCCCCCCCCCATCGGAACAGAGTCGAGACACTGAAGGGGAGGACGCAAATCGAAAGACAACAACCCAGATCGACGGCCGCGTGGGAATGACTTTCGATTTTCTTTTCATTTGTTTCGGATATTCCAAGCTGGGTCCTTCACATGCTGGGTGCCCCACACGCTCACAACGACCACTCATCGACTGATACGGCTAACACGCCCACAAACTCATGCAGCGCGTCCATTCGCATTTGCCCTAAGATGAGAGCTTGCCCTTTATT